AATCCGAAAATATAAACTTTGGAACAATCCAGATCTCAGAGATGTTCAATTCAAATATAAAAATATTATTGAATATCACTACTGAGCATCATAAATGTCATAGAACCCAAAAATCAAGTTGATACTATTGCAACACAACTAAAAGATATACTGTCTGAGATAGATATACCAAAAAGCTCAGAAATGAGTTTTTCAAACCAATACCAAACAGAGACAGCTGGAAGCAGCAGTGGATCCGGACGTGACAACATACCAATTGATAGTAAAGGAGATTCAATTTCAGTATCATCAACCAAAAAAATTATGATACATGGAGATAAAAGAGATACCAAAACAATCAGCATCATAGACCAAGAAGATAAAATCCCTTTAAATCCAAAAGAAGAAAAATATGTCGAAATAATCAAAATTGCTTATGAAATTATCATGAGTGAATCATATTTCATTTTTTCAAGAAATAATGTTTATCCTAAAATAACAGTCATGGAAGGAGGAGACCCTTCATTTATAAAAAGGAAAAATTCCAGTCGAAGTACAAAACTTTTCGTTTATTAGCAGACTTTGTCCAAACCATTAGTTTGTGCCATCCACGATACCAAACCTTTCAAAAATTCGCAGTGGAAGTCCAAATTGATGATAACTGTTAATTTGACCGTTAGTTGACCAAAGATTTAACATTGATCATTATTTTGACTAATTTTAAAAGGATAAAATGGTAGCTTTACATTTTTCAACAAAAAAAAAATTATAATATATTAATAATTAAATTAAACCACAAAAATATTATTCATCTTCTTCTCCACCCTCGCCCCCCTCCACACATTCACCCATCCACCCACCCACTTCTAATAGCTTTTTGATCAATTTAGCATCTTTCTCGCAATCTCGACTCAGTCTAACTGACTTAATTGGGGATAGGAATTCCATCATATATTAGAAGCATTTTTTACCCTAATTGGTGGGTTCCCGTTGATGATTATTGGGCAATTTAGTGGAATAAGATAGTAAGATAAATATATAGGGCAGAATGAACCAACAGCCAAACGCAAAATTGCTACAGGAATGCTGATTGGGAACCACAAAATGATTAGTGGGTGCCGATTTTTTGGTGGGTGTTGGTTTTGGGAAGTGGGTGGGTGGAAGCGTGAGGGGGGGGGGGGGGAGAAGAAAATAAATAATATTTTTGTGTTTTGATTTAATTATTAATATATTGTAATTATTTTATTTTTTTTGTTAAAAATGTAAAGTTACCATTTTATCATTTTAAAATTAGTGAAAATAATGATCAATGTTGAATTTTTGGTCAACTAACGGTCAAATTAACAATTTCCATCCATTTGAACTTCCACTGTGAGTTTTTGAAACGTTTGGTATCGTGGGTGGCACAAACTAAAGGTTTGGGCAAAACCTACTAATAAATGAAAGGTTTGGTACCTCGACTGCAATTTTCCTTTTATATAAATTACGACAGACTATGAATTCATGGATTTGATATATCCAGGAAGAGATTTGATTGAAATTTCGAAGTTTGATGACATATTCATAAAAGAAGTATCCAGATTTGTCAAATGACGAAAAATATATTTGAAATTATATTCAATAAGTCCAGAATATGATGGAGTTGTTTACTATCCAGTTGAACACATAATCTCAATTGGATATATTGTAGCCAATTTCTAAATAGATGTTACAGAAAATAATAGAAAAGTTCTGACAGTGACAAAATCATGGATCAGACATAAGAGAGCACTACAACATTGCCAAAAATTTGTTTGATAAAAAATTCTCATGTTTATGGCAATATGAAAATTGGATGCTGAAATCCAATGGAGAATATGGAAAATCAGAAATTTTAAAGGATTATATTACAAAAATCCTGCCAGCTAAGGAAATGCCCTAACTGCATGTGAAGAAATAAAGGAAGAGGACAATAATAGAGCACCTTTGACAAAGGTGTATGAAGGACAATAATACAACAGCATGTGAAGACATTGAAGAAAAAGAGCAATAATAGAAAAGATACTCTTCGAATAAAAAGTTGAAGCAGCATGTGAAGATGTAAGCCCAAGGAGGAAATAATAGAAATGCAAGTGTGCTTTTGCTAATGTACTCAATGATGTAATAGAGTCTCATAAACTTGTATAAATAGGGCCATTGTGATAGAAAACGTCTCATCTTATCTTAAAATCTCGAGTTGTAAGCAATAATTACTCTAAAAACCATTCCCAGTTTGAGAAACCAATTTTTCTGAAAAAATAAAACTCCAATATTTTAATATGAATATGAGTTTCTAAATCTTAATTTTCATAGATTCTTAAAGGATCTGATAAAAAGTTTCCTTCTTATTTTAGCAAAAAGAAATTTTTTTCTTTAACAGAAGTCTAGAATTTTATTCTTTAGAAGTTGATACAGTGAGGGCAAATAGCTAAAATAGTAACAATTCCATGAAGGCAAGAGACCGTCAAAGGAAGTAGTCTACAAATTCAGAACTCAAAGGTCACTCGGTTCTAAGAATAAAAGTCCAGATCAAACCTAAGGTAAAACTATTAGACTTTTGCCAAAATTAGAATGAATTTTTTTAAGATCTTAAAGAATCGTAGGAATTAATTAATGATTATTTGTATGAATAAATGACAGAATATACAATTAAAGGATTAGATGATCTATTAAAAAGAATGTTAGAAAAAATAAAGAATATTATCTCTCAATTAGAAAATATAAATTTACCATTTGAAGAATATATCATTTTAGTTAGAAAATATGAAATATATGTTGCAGATTATTCTTATTTATTAGATCATAGAATGGATTTATATCCAAATATTCAAAGTAGAAGATAAAATGTTTAAAAGATTAAGATATATGTTGCAATATAGAAAGAATCATTTCATTAAGGGAAATATAGACCTTTCAATAAAAAAAATAGTGATAGGCCAAATAGAAAAATCTCCCGTCTTTCATGGAGCCCTCCTATAATCAAGGACACCCTCTCCAGACAAATAACGTGTCAAGTAACTGCATTTGGTAATACAACAAAAAGGACATTTAGCAAATATTTGGTACATAGCACTAGGATATATGAACAAGATCTTAGCTTATTTTTTTCTACCTTGATACAGTCAAATTTTGCCCAATCCTTCTCACCTAATATGCTATTAACGAATGAAATTACTAGAGGGGGAAGAATTAGCACTCAGAGAGTTTGGTAACATATTCTTGGTATTGTATTATCCAGTATAGAACCCTGGTATAGAAGGGGTTAATTTCAGCTCTACCTGAGGTTTTGCTCAAGTTCAGCTCTAGAAACTTGCCATGCATTCCCTCGCTGCTTTCTTTAGAATCCTTCGTGGAGAATCGTAATGATAATAAGCTCAGTGGTATATTTGGATAATATATACATCACCAACTTCACTTCTATAAGCTTACCAAAGTTTTTAAAGGAGTTTCTCAAATAAGGAGCTTCCTGGGTGTATTGAAATGTTTTCATGTACGGAAGAAAAAGAATGCTCCAGACGAGGTAGGCATGATGCTATGTTGATATTCCGTTGTCAAAAATGAAAGATTGCACTGGATGGGCATTAATGGGGACGGTTTAACTTGATGCGGTATTCTGCTAATTGTTGGTAGCGGACGAGTATGAAAGCAGAGAGGAACAATATGGTGGGGAGCTAATTGAGTAAAGTTCCTTCTTTTTACGCTAGTAACCTTATATTCCATAACTAACACACTACATGTTACCTTACCATTTTAGAAGATCTCAAAATGTTCATACTTGTGTTTTTGGATGTTTTTCCAAATGAACATAAGCATTCATTAGTAGGCTGTCACTAGGCTCATATGACTCAGGATCCATTCCTACTAACATAAAATAATTCCTCCACTTGACGAGATCCATGGATATCTCATTTTAAGTCTTGTTTGGGTGGCTTATTTCATGCTTAAAAGCACGAGAAAGAAAAAGTATACCACCCCAAACATGCTGTATGTTGAAATCCTCAAACTTCTACTTATACACAATAGAAATACTTGAAAATGTTCCCAAACAATTATCTTCCACTTTCTAGATTAGCACACCCAATTAAGTAGCACAAGTCACATGCACCTTAGTTCTACCTCAATAGTAAAATCTCTTGGATTAAATAATATATAAGAACAAACAGAAAAATAGACCCTACTTTATACATCCAGCTTATGTAGTCACACAGCTGTACAGACTAAATACAGGATAGTATACAGAATCATTTAATGTCATGGCTAACTTCACTCACCATATGACTACTCACCCACAACCAAGGCATTCTAGAATATTCTGTAAATCTATAAATTCAGCACATGGGGAGGATGAAAAGCCGTGAAAAAGATTGTTAACTTGGGTGCAAAACAGAACCCCCCCCCCCC